TTATAATCTTCAATTGGGCAAAACATTAAATAATAGGGTAACAGTTTTTGAATCAACATACAGATAAATCCTCAATTTACGACCACAATTGAGCCCAACTTTCTGTTCCTAAGTGAAACAATTGTTAAGTGAGTTTTGCCCCATTTTATAATCTTTCTTGGCACCATTGTTAAGTGAATCACTGGAGTTGTTAAGTTAGTAACACAGTTGTTAAATGAATCTGGCTTCCCTGCTGAATTTGTTTATCAAAATGTTGCAAAAAATGATCACATAATTCCAAGACACTGCAATCGTCATAAATATGAGTCACTTGCTAAGTATCTGAATTTTGATCATATGACCATGGGGATGCTGCATTGGTCATAAGTGTGAAAAATGGTCATTTTTCAGTGCCATTGTAACTTTGAACGGTTACTAAATGAACTGTCAAGAACTACCTCTATTTCAAATGGGCATAATTTAGAGAAGGCATAATTTTGGCAAAGTTGTGGCTGCTTCAGTGCTGCTATGCTGCCTTCCCACCATAGCCAAGCATGGTCATGTAATTGTCGTTTCCAATGCTCCCTGTCAACTTCCCATGAAGAAAGTTAGTGCGGAAGCTGGCAGGAAGCTGGAAGTCTTAGGTTGGCAGGCAGGTAAGTGCCTGGTGGGGGAGATTGCACAAGGGTGTGAGGGGGTGCATCAGAAGTATGTGCAGGTTGAGGTGAATGTATGAGAGGTGCCACATGGTAAAAGAGGACTTGTGGGTATGCATGGAGCAGTGCTGCACTGGTGAGCGAGGGTGCACAAGGGTGTAGGGAGGGGCACAGGAGGCACCCCATGGGTCAGGTAGTGGTGTGAGGGGTGTGCAAGTGGTACAGTGAGTGTCTGGGAGGTTAATAGGGATGCAGCATGGATCAGGGAGAAAGCATGGAGATACACAAGCATTAGGTTAGGAGATATCACCAAAATAATGACTCAGTCTAGTTTCCTTATATTCTCTCTCTCTTATCAAATCCACATGTTCTTTTGGATTGGAAAATTTGGTATTATGAGATGCAGAAAATATTCAACCCTTTAACAAAGAAATAAAGAGTAGTTGTGAATTGTTTGCAGGATCCCAGGAATCCTAACTTTCATTGAACCCCAAGTTGTGATGTTAATTTTCTTTCCAGAAGTTCCAGTTTATAGATCCACTGGAAATAGAATGTTACTGTAAAAATCTTCCCACATGACAGATTATAGTTAGGAAGCTTTCATCTTCATCAGAGATGATCATAGCTGGAGAACCATACCTTTCCCATGATACACTGAGAAAGTTTCCCCCCCATTTCTCAGTAATAACTTCAGATGAACCACTAACTTGCAAGACTCCACCATTCAAACCCAGGAACATAGATAGAGGTATAAAGTAAGCCTCTTGGGTTTGAGGATGAAGGCTCTCTGGTGCACCTTCTAATACTATCAGTTAGGTGAGTTCAATGACATCTTTTTTCCTTTTTTAAAAAAAGCAGCTCACATAATGTAAACCCACCTCTAAAGAGAGTGCAATGGACCGCCAATCAAAATCAGGATGAGTCTCCATCCTTAATTCACAGGTAAAGTTTTAGTCACACGGGAAGCTAACAAAATAGCTTCTTCATCAGTTTAGGAAGGTGAGGAAACAAAACCTAATTGCAGCTTGATGAAGTGAGTCCACAGCACGTATTTCTGTGCAGTCATATTCGATCGATCATTAAGGGTCTCCAGCTGAGAGAGGATGGATAGAAGTGAGTCGGCATGATGATGGAGCAAATTTTCATGGTTAAATAGAGTCTGGAAAACATCGAGGCATTAACATTTATTTAACATGACCCAGCAAAAGAAAAATAAACTACCTGGTCCCTTCAAACATTTATGTGTTATCCATCATAGCAACTAAGTAAAAATTAAAGGTCATAAGTCCATATGATCTTTACAAAAAACAACAGCAATCTCAGACAAATGACTAGGATATATCAATATGGTTCCATAAATTAAATAAGAATTATGTGACTCAGAATGAAAAAAGCTTTTTTTTTATGGGTGAGCAATTTTCCCTATGTGCATAACAATTTACCCTTATTCTGAGGCAAGAAAAAAAAGCTCTAAAATATATTTATAATATTTAAAAAGAAAAAAACCTATTAAAAATAATATTACGATTATTATTTAGATTATTTATATAGCTGCCTTTTCAAAATGTCTCGGGACAATAATTAAAAAAATACCCCACCCCACACACACAAAAAGACACAGTTTGGTCTAGTGCTTAAAGCTCCAGGCTAAAAAGCGACAGAGACCATGAGTTCCAGTCCTACTTCAGCTATAAAAGTTTGGTGACTTTGCTCCAGTCACTCTCTCTCTCTCTCTGCCCAATCCACCTCACAGAATTTTGTGAGGAAAATAGGAAGATGAAGGAGTGTTAGATAGGTCTGCCACTTTCAGTAATTTGTATAAATAATAAAGGTGGGATAAAAATAAATAAAAAATACCGTCCACAGGACAAAAAACAAAAGGTAATAGAAAGTACAGAACATACCCCTCTCATTTGAATACGATAGACATTATTTGTCTTTCTTCATATTTTTCATCCATGCAAGCTGCAAAAATATTACCAAGATACCAAACAGCCGCCAATCCCTGGAGTAGGTAACACATATCACAACATATCACATACTCCACATTTTTAAGAAGGCCCTGCTTCTACCTTAAAGCATGACACTCCTGAAGTTAATTTTCTAAAGATGAGACAACTTCCAACCATAAGTAGGAGAAGTAAGCAATAAATCCTGTCTGCAAGTAAGAAAAAGGCCTCTCTACCATGACCCATATTAATTGCTTGATTGTATATATGATCCTGGGAAGTATTACTGGTAAATATCTTCATATATAGAGAAAAAGATTTGGGGACTAAAGGCCCCACCAACAATCTGCTGCCATTTGAATCTATCCATCGATTGAGTTTTTCTGAGACACTGCTTTACAGGTGCTTCCATGCATCACGCAGGACAAGAAATCAGTGCCATCTGATTTGTAAATCAATTTCCTACATCTTTCCATGTGCACAGAAATTGACATTTTTGGAAATTTGATGATGTGGTTTTCAATTCCAAAACTACTCATGAAATGTAGCAGTGGTTAAAAGTTCAGCACAAATAATACATTACATAATAGAAATGTTTTTGCAAGGGTACAGGACAGAAAACTCTATGTAAAAATCAGTTTTAGAAGAAGCATACACAAGGTAGTGTTTGCTGAATTTGTTAATCAATGTGGAAACAAAATATCATTATAGTCAGGAAAATAAAAAAATACTGTGCAGAAACAAAACTGAGAGATTTGCCCTAAAATACAAATTTATTTTACTTACTTAAAGATTTTAATGTAATATTGACTTTTTCCTTCTTTTAGCTTTCAATCAAGAGTATTTTTTTCAAACTTTTCAGAGATAATAATATTTTGCTGTGTTTTTTTAAAAAATATGGCTTCCTTTAAAACCATATATCCCTTTTTAAGAGCAACTGGATTTTGATGTTTGAAAGCAACTTTATCAGATGGTGAAATGTCGGATGTAAATAATTCAAATAAACAAATAAAGTTCAGGATTATTCAACACATGTTCCTTATGTAATTGAAACTACTAGTATGACCTACAATTTTTCATATTTCCTAGACATATCATGCAAAATTTTGTACAGTTTTCAGACAGCACTCTACAGGATGCCTGCCTGCAAACTGGGAGAAGGAAGAAGTTTTACATCAGCCTTCCTGAACATCACTGCCCACCAGTTCCTCTAAAGGAAAGGCTGCTTTGACAGTTTTGCAAATCCCACTTCATGTAACAGGCAAAGCAGCAAATGTGAAAATTTTAAGATGCTGTCAGTTTTTCCCTTCTCTTAGGGAAGGGGCAATGTAAAAGAACAGGCTGCTTGTGTTTTTTTCCTATCTTTTTCCTATCACTATTTTTAATAGAATAATATTAAAAGAATTTTTGTTATTGCAGAATCTTTATTTTCAGCAGATGAGATTTGTGATTTGATTTTCATCTCTTAAGGTACTTGAATTATCAGATTTTTTTAAAAAGGAACAATTCCTCAAAGACTAAGGAATGAAAGCAGCAGCAAGAAAGTGTCCATTATTTACCTATTAATATTTTTTTCTTTTAATAGCAAAACTGTCCATCCTACAGCACTATCAGCAAGAAAAATTAATTAACCTGATGCTGCCTTTGGAAACTCTTCAAAATAATTGTCATTATGACCAAATATCCATCTGTTTTTCAGAAAGCATTCCATTACACAGAGATTAGATAATGCAGAGATGAGAAGCTTATTGGAATTTAGGAAATGTTTTATCTGCCTCCTAGCTGAGAACTGAAGGAGATATCTTGAAGGTACTGCAACTGCCAGATATTTGCTATGCAAAGACCCAGGAATGTGTGTTTTGTACCTGTATATAAGTAGCCCATTGGCATTCATTTCTTGTTTCGTTATGGATGATACCGAACCTTTTAAACTTTCAGCACCTATTTAAGATATATCTTTTGATCTATGCTCTTCACTGAACCATGTTCTTATTTAACACAATATAATTTTGTTCACCCAAGCACACCACCTCTGTACTTTTACCTTAACCTGTCACATACAAAAATGAAATATTGCATCCTTAATCATCTCTCTGAAAATTTAAATTTTAGGATATCATAGGTTTTTTTTTGTAAAGGACACAAAATTTTACCCTCCTGTAAATGTTTCACAAAACTTCTCTCCCTCCACCTGAAAATGTATATACAATCATTTACAAAATTACAAATTACAAATTACATATACCATTATTTCTCTGAAAAGTAAAAATCTTAGCTTTCCTTTATGAATTCATAGATGGACAGCTAAAACATAGTTAGACATAGTTATTTTTTTAACTATTAAAAACATAGTTATTTTCTCAAACATGTACGTTATTCTTTAAGCTTCCATCAAAGTAGATAGTCTTGAACTCACCTCAGTACATGAGTTGATCCATTGATAGTAGTGGTAGAACAAGGTACCGTTTGTTCCAAGATGGAAGGTCTTCGATATCGTTCATCACCACAACACAAGATGATGAGGAAGGCACGTCTGAAAGACTTGTTCAAGAATGCATAAAGGAAGGGATTCAGTCCTGAATTGATGTATCCCAGCCACAAGAAAGCAGTCCATATCTGATCAGGAACTGCATAATGTATGAAAGGGTCTATTATGTTTGTGATAAAGAAAGGTGCCCAGCACAAGCAGAAACACCCCATGATGATACAGAGGGTCTTTGCAGCTTTAGTCTCAGTCTTCATACGGTGTGTGCTATGCTGATCCGGGTGTTGGGGTCGTCCATCAGTTGGTGCTCCTGCACGCTGTAAGATTCGTATCTGGTGAGCATGCTCTCTTGCTGTAATGTATATTCGGTAGTAAGCTAGAACCATTAGCAGAAATGGAATGTAGAAGGCTACGACTGAGCAGGTGATGGCATACGGCTTGTTCACCATGAATATGCAGTAAGTTGAGTTGGATGCATTGTTGAACTGCCTTTTCTCTACCTGAGGAGGTAAATAAACAAATAAAAAAAAGCACAGAAATATTAGAGGCTTACTGAAATATCCCTGAAAATAAAATCTTCTTTCTTAGCTTCATTTATCCATTGCGTACAAATGACATTAGCATCACAGATCTTTCTTCACCAACCTCTAATACAATTTTTATCTCACAATTAGTCCATTTTTTCTTTCATAATTATGTTTTGTCCTATTCATATTTTTCCTATTTTTCCACTGTTGTTAACTCTCTTGAATGTTTTTTCTATTTTCAACAACTTTTGAACTTCTTCAGAAAGAAAATATAGTACTGAAATATCAAAATGGGGAACAAATGAAGTGCAATTAATAATAATAATTTATTAAAATTTTATGGTGCCAGATTTTGAGCAACTCTGGGTGATTATTTTTTGGGTTTGTAAAAATCTGTTCTATTGTCCAGCATATATCAGTTTTGATGAGAGGAAGGGATGGGAAGAGGAAAAAAAATGAACATTACTAAGCTTTTAAGGAAAACATTGTATTTTATTGCAATGAATGCCACTGATCGATAATGTAATATCCAGATCTGGAAACTATGGTTTCAAAATACCTAGGGTAGCATGCTGGAAAAAACTATTCTACACATTGCACAAGTGATAAACCATTACAATAGAATTGATATCAAATATCAGTATTATTTCATGCAGTTACTGTATGCTGGAAGGGAATATTAGGAGTTGTGATTTCAATACATTTGGAGAGGCTGAGTGGGGAAACCGGTTCCGAACTTTTCTCCATCTGCTCATGGTTTCCTGAGACAGGTAGGGTGATTTAAAAAAAAAAAAACTCAAAAGCTATAGAATTTGCATGGTTACTATAAAATCTATGAATTAAACAAAAATTGTATCAGATCCATAATTCATTAAAAGAGTTAATATTGCCTCTCGTGTTATTGACGGCAGATTTTGTCATGGATTAGAATCCTTCATCTAGAGAATAATAATCATGAGAGTTGGAATACTGTCAATGTCAGGCAATAACTACAGAAAAACAAACTTTCAGAAAGGAAGTCAATGGAAAATGGGAAGTGGATTAATGAAGCAAATGTTTATTTGAACAACGGATCTACTGAAGTGTTCTGGGAAGCAGTCTAATGCTGTACGTGTAGTCAGCCATCCTGTATGCCTAACAGAGGAGAAGGGATATCCAGAATATATGTAAGAATTAATGTTTCTGCCATACAATGTATGCTGTGTGACTCGGCATTCAAAGCACTGTTCACTTAACTGTTGTTTTCTTTTAAGTCTAATAGTAAAAATGGTTGTCCCTCATCCTGCTATAATATTTCTGAGACAAATTGAGAAAAAAAATTACTAAGAGCAATTTTGTTTTCCTATCATAATCTTCTAGGATTACGGGACTGTCAAACCAGAAATCTCAGATATGGAAGATTCCAGAATGACGATTCCATCAATATTATGGAGAGAGGTAGACTTAATAACTGCCTCAAATATCTACCTTTGGATCTCATTGTTGATAGTTAGTTATATTTGTCTTCTTAGTTATATTTATCTGTAGCTGTCTATAATCATGAATAGTTACACTGCTATGCAAGCCTCTTTTTGAAAATTTTGTTAAAATAACCATTTTAGGAAGTAGATTAACAATATTATTTCCATAAATGATGACAGAGAATTTTTTTAAAAAAAACCCTGCAGAATAAAATATGTTCCATCTTTTTGAGTTCCTGAAAAAAGGCTTGCTCTTACAGCTCTGCTTAATAATCTTATATTTTTCTTTTAACTTTTAAAAATTATAGGTTTTATAGCGAGTTCTGGTACCATTCAAAACCCCATATTCATTTCCCCCCCAAATCCTTGAAATTCATCACAGCTCAGAGAGGCTTTCCAGTGCAAAAATTGCCAAAGACTCAGTTTTTAGAGGCTCTTGGATCTGTGTAGTTATAGAACTAAAGAAACAGAACACACAGCTGAAAGAGAACTGTCCAAAATTTTATGGTTTTTGGTGATTCCTCCCTCTCAAAAAAAAAAAAAAAAAAAACTTGTCTAGGCTACATGACAAAAAGGATAAGTAGAACTACAAATCCTTCCTCCATGTACTTCCATGTGGTTAGTAGCTCTAATGATCTGAGCAGACTGGCAGACACTATCTAAAGATTTTGGCTGCATGGAAAGCCTCGTATCAGACCATTAGGTTTTACTTTTGTCCTGTTCATTGCTACATTAAAAATGTATTATGAAATATAAAATAGTTTATTAAATATTTTTAAAAGGAAAAAGTACTAATGCAGCTAATATGAAGTAAGAAAGAAATTGAAGAAAAAGCTAAAAGTACAAGAAAGTAATAGAAAAAATAGCAAAGGAAGAAAAAGTATACAAAGAAATAGCTTCTGATCTTTTTTTACAGCAGTTAAAAGTATAATTATAAATGTACCTCTTATTTTATCATTCAAACCTAACTTTCTTCTTTCTATAATCTGTACTCTCTAATTATCAATTTTCTGTTTTATGCAAAAGGTCCATATGGGAGCAATAAACATAAATATTGTATTTTCTTTTATCAAATAAGTCAATTTAGCCATCTCAGAAAGTTCCATCATCTTCATTAACCATTCCTCCATAGTAGGTAGTGCCAAATCTTTCCATCTTTATGCATACAACAATGTTACTGCAGTTATCATGTACAAAAACAAAGATCCAGGACCTTTTCCCCCCCAAAGGGTATACTATCAATACAGAAAGAAAGATAAGGTGGACAAGTTGCCTATCCTTAAACTGAAAGGACTGTTCTTTAAGGACAGGGGTGTCAAACTCAAAGCCCACAGGTTGGATCTGTCCCATGGGGTGCTTAGATCTGGCTAGTGGGGCTGCCTTGGAAACAACAAAGGCCCATGATGTGTCTGCCAGCAAAAACGGAGCTTGGGAGGGCTGCACGCGACCCTCCCGAGCATTGTTTTTGCTGGCAGATGGTTGCAGGAGGCTGTCGCAGCCAAAAACAGACCTCGGGAGGGCTGTGCATGGTCTTCCAGAGCTCAGTTTTTGCTGGCAGAGGATTGCAGGAGGCCATCGCAGCCAAAAACGCAGCTCAGAAGCCCATTTTTTATGGCAGAGCACTCAGGTGGCCCCCAACATGAGTGACGTTGATCTGGCCAGGCCCACCATGGCCACGCCTACCTCGGCCCTCCGAGGTCAAACGCAGCCCTGATGTGGCCTTCAATGAAATCAAGTTTGTCACCCCTGTTTAAGAAAACCCTCTTGCAAAAAACATACTCAGATCTACCCCTGAAATAGAATAGACATCTACCTATCTTATATAACCAAGATCTCCCCCATTAGAATTAAGTACAAAATGAATACAACATGAACATATTCACTTAGAGAAGTCCAGACTTTCCTATTGTTCCACCTAAGTCTTGGAGGGATGCTTGAGAAAGAAATTATTTTACAGTTTAACTATTATTTTAGGGTGCTTTTGACCTCAGAATTATAGGATACGACTCTATAACTTTTGTGACCAGAAAGAATACCAGGGCTTATAACAACAGATTTAAAGGTAGTAAACTGTCTCTGAGGTCTTGAATGTTCCAGCCTTGTTTTAACTTTTTTTACTGTTAATCAAACATTTCAAAATGAATAAACACAGAGTACTGGTATGAACTAAATGTACTTTCACTTTACAGACATTTTCATTTCTTGGATTCAGGGAGCAAACTTTCCATTGTCATTTAAATCATCCAAATTACAGTAAGCCACAAATAACAGAAAACAGCAAGTTGAAAAATGTGCCTATTGCTTAAAGCTATTAGAAAAATGCAAGTAACATACGTTTTGGAGGGTACATTTACTCAGCTCTATGATATGGAGAAAAACTTCGCTATCCAAAGATAATGGTGTAAATTATCTGGAAACATTTTGAAATATTTGGACTGGATGAGCACAGTACCATTAATTATTTTTATATTATTTATGAAATGTATAGGCTGTCCTAATCTGTTATCACTCTGGATAGTTTACACAGTAAAAACATAAAAAAACACTAGAATAATCAAAAGTTCAAAAAGAACCAACAATTATTCAGAAAAGTTAAAATATCACATGAGATTCATCACCTGTTCTACCCCAAAGCCTGTGCTAGTTTTAATTTAAACAGCTACAAAACAAGGATTAAATGGAGTTATCCTTAAAAAATTTGAAGGCTCTCCCTTCCCCCAGAGATTAGTTTAGCTCAGAGGTTAGTTTAGCTCAAATCTTAGTGGGATATACTTTAACTAAACTAAAATCATCTATAGAGTTAAAACTCAGCGTTAACATTATTTTTCTTGTTTTAAAAACACTTTTTAGTGTTCTTTTTTGCAATTTTCTTCTTCAATTATTATTATAGAATTTTAAGCTGTAGATAATATTGAGAACCTAGAACAGTTTTTCATAAGTGATATTTTGTGGAATCCAAGAATTACACAAGAAGTCATTACGAGAAAACATCAAAGAAAAATAACATTTGCTTACTGCACAAGTCTAGTGTACACAGTGATGGGAATTTTTACATACCATGACTCAGCTGCCGGCCTGCTGCTTTACAGTGTGGTAGAGAGAGTTGTGTGGGTTCAAAGGGAATTAACCTTGAGCCAGTCGGGATTGAGGGAAACAAACTTCTGGCAATGTGAGCAGAGTTAGCCTGCAATACTGCATTCTAACCACTGGGCCACTGTAGATAGTATTGAGAACCTAGAGCAGCATTTATACCTCCAAAATGTATGTTACATTTATAATTTATGTAATTTATATTTAAATCAATAAAAAGCCACACACAACAGGCATCATATAAATACCACACATAGAACAGCCCAAAGCACACACACTACTAGAGAGTTTTCCTGAGGATAGACTCCAGCATGAGTCCAAAAGCTTGGAAGACTAAACCTCTGGTCCTGGTGACTAACTCAGATTGGATCCTGCAACATTATCCTGGGACATGTATATTTGCCTTTATTCGTAAATCAATAACAATGGTATAGAATCATTCAAGGCTATGCAGGGCTGTAGGCAAAATAAAAGCATTCTGATTTTGACCTGGAATAGGTTTCATATCAGGCAACTGAGATCTACTCACCAAGTCCATGATGCCAATGCTATTCCAGCCTTGCATTATAGGAAGAAAAGAAATAAACATTGGGATTACCCAGCAGCCACTCAGCAATAGAGCAATGCGTAGAGGAGTCATCTTATTCCTGTAAACCAATGGCTGGCAGCAGATGGCATAGTACCTGGAAAGGCAAGAAGAGAAAGCTAGCATAAATAAAAAGCAAAGGCAAGATCAATATGGCTTACACTCCCAAAGGTACTTTTTCAAACTTTGTTTTTCCTTGAAGACATTTCATTTCTCATCCAAGAAGCTTCTTCAGTTCTGTCTAAAGAAGCTTCTTGGATGAGAAGCGAAATGTCTTGAAGGAAAAACAAAGTCCAGTCACCTTTTTGAAAAAGCATCTTTGGGACAACCATCACCTGGACGACTGAGAATCTCCACAGACATTGCTCACATTCATATCCCACTTCCTTTAGAACAGGGGTGTCAAACTCATGTTGTCACGTTGTCATCATGTGAGGTATCGGGACTTTTTTCTCCTTTGCTAAAACGGGGGTGGGCGTGGCCAGTGTATGACACATCTGGCCCGTGGGCCGGGAGTTTGACAGCCCTGCTTTAGAATGTTGTCCTATTTTATCCGAGGACATGAAAGGTCTAATAGTCTTAAATTTAAAGCACACAAAATTTACAAATGAGAAAATTTGCCACATGTCTGAATCAAACGTGATTTCCCTTTCTCTCGCTCTTTCCTTTCATGTACAGCATAGCTTTTATTTTTGCTCTTCGATATGGTCCCAGTGATTTTTCCAACAATAAGGAAATAAACGTCATCTTTATGCATTTCTGAATTTCCTTGACAGGGAAAAAAGTTCGCAAGTGGATGAAAGTTACTGTTTCTATTCAGAACAAAATCTTCATGAACCTTTTCATTCTTCTCAAAATCTCCAAACTCAAATTGGTTTCTTATTGCTCTTTCAAAGAAGTACATTCATTTTAGTTTGGATGCTTTCAGTGAGAATATGAAACAAACTATGAAAGGTTGTTTATGTTTAAGGCTGCAGGCTGGGGCTTTGCAAGATTAGTAACAAGAGTGTTGTCCTCTTTGTAAAACTCCTACCCAAAGAATGAACATTTGGCTCTCCCTCCAGCTAAAGAGCATTAGAAACCGTTCTTCTGTTTTCTTACAATGTTTAATTAACAGTATCTGGCTTTTTAAACTGCTACTGATGGTTTTATATTCTTATTTTTTTCCCTGTGGAATGCTGCTCTGAACTGATGTGGCTTTACTCTGCTCTATTGATTCATACAAGCCAACATGCGCAAGCAGCCTTGAAAGAATCTTTCTGCCCTGAAGTAAAACGCAACAGGATCAAAATAAAGAGATTGACAGAGATATGGCAATCTGTGTCTGTCTTCTATTTATCTAAGCTCATTTTTATAGCCCTTAAGAGTTTTCCTTTCTCGTTTTTGTGGACTGTTATCCACACATGTGTTATCCACACTTTCTTTGTTCGTTGGTTTATCATTTAGCTAACAGTAAGATATCTAAAATACCCTGTACTATACAAGCAAAACTTAATGGAGCTTAATGGAACCTTCCTTCCTTCCTTCCTTCCTTCCTTCCTTCCTTCCTTCCTTCCTCTCTCTCTCTCTCCCTCCCTCCCCCCTCCCTCCCTCCCTTTCATTCATTCATTCATTCATTCATTCATTCATTCATTCATTCATTCATTCTTTTTTTTTTCTTGTTCAACCTGGTCTCCCCACTCTGCTTTTGATCTAAACCAGTCTGAAAGGTTAGAGGACTAAATTTATTATTTATTTATTATTTATTAGTCCAATTTATATACCGCCCTTCTCCGTAGACTCAGGGCGGCTTACAATGCATTATAGCAATAGCCTGCATACTTTTTTGTATATACCTGCTTATTAGGGCTTTTGGGCCCCCCCAAGTGGTGTTGTTCTATACAAAGTTGGCTTATTGCCCCCACAATCCAGATCTTCAATTTACCTACCTCGAAAGGATGGAAGGCTGAGTCAACCTTGAGAGATTCGACCTTGCATTAATTGCAGGCAGCTGGCAGCTAAGTGCTAGCACTTAACAGCACTTTAGTCCGCTGCGCCACCGAGGCTCAGTGCCCCTAGAAGTCTCAAGAAGAGCAAATTTGAGGAAAGAGAGAAAAATTCATAGAATAGAAATGAATTTTAACCATTTCTATTCTATGGATTTTTTTCTCTATCAATTCTGTGAGCTCCACCTCTTCTTATGTTCATCATGCAAACAACCTTGAGATATGCAAGAAATCTGAAGCAGCATCTAACTCACCTCCAGAGTGTGGCAGACACTCTGTGGTAGCATTAAAAATGTAAATATTTGGTGAATAGGGAGGCAACTGTCATTATTTGAACCACAGGAAAGCATTATTGAGGAACATCCTAATGATTCTTGTCTCGGAAAGAGTTTTCCCCTCCTGCTGATGTTTATGCTAAATGAGCCGAAAGGTCTGCACAGGTGGTCATATACTGGCAAGAATGAAAAGCATTGCACTATTGTCAACATTAAGGATAACTTAGCACTTAACTTATTGCTAGAGCAAAGAGAAAGACAGAAAAAAGTTGCTTTCCACACGGGGAGCCTACTCAAAGATAAAGTCCTTACTGGAGATGAATGTTTAAAAGCAGTCTCTGCATATCATTAGAAGGTATGATGAGATCATTAAAATACCAAAAAGTGTGTTAATTTATTTACACAGGGGTTAAGTCTCCAACATGAAGCCTGGAAATGCCTGCTGGCAGTTCCTTGAGGCCCCCAGGGCTTTCGCCTACTTGACCTTTCATGTGTTAGAGAGACAGGGGGCGAGGGAGGGAAGGAGGGAGGGGAGAGGGAGGGGGCAACCCAGAGAGAAAATCACATGCTACAAAGCAACACATGAGCTTCCAGCATCATTTCAACCAATGGTTTCCAAATGGACTTCATCAACTAGCAGCTTTTCCAGGAAATGGGGTGTGTGCATGAAATTATAGCATGTTGTGGCATTGCACCACAAGGTCTACCCTACACTACCTGAGTTGCAGTGTTGCCCATAATTCTAAAGGAGTTTGTGTTGTGACACTGGGGCATCCTGATTAAAACAGCAAAAGCTGGCAAATGCTGTTTCTGTCAGCTTTCTTGGAAAATAAAATAAAATAAAAATACTTACTTTGGAAGTAAGGTCCCTTCTTACAAAAGTAAGCAAGGAATGAAAGTTTGTTCTCCAAAAAAGGTGAACAGAGGTGTAGCGGGTTGCATTCTGGCAAAATGATATTTTATAATGGGATACACCCCAGTTAGAAAGGAAGTGACCTTTTTTGGGGCTTAATGGAAAAAGACCTGGAGAAAAAATTTGGAATTTTGTTACTATATATGTTAACAACAGTAAGACTATTGTAAGCACAAAAATGAAAGGACACTTTGACTCCTACCATGGACAAATGGTTGCAGAAGTTGATGGAGTTGACTGAAATGGCAAAATTGACTATTTTGTTTAAAGAAAAGAATATAAGTACTTTTGTTTCCACATGGAGACCACTTCTGAACTTTGTGCTTGAAGTGAATGAAAGAATGAAACTTTGATTTTGGGTTTTACCAGTTAGATTGATAGTTCTTTATAGAAATGGCTTGTTTATATTATTATGAAAAACAAAAGTTGTGATTTGATATTAATGCCTTATTTTACTGCAACAGAAAGAGTCAGAAGTCAATGTTTCTTTTTCTTTTTTTCTTATCCTTCCTCACTTCTCTTCCCCCCCCCCCAGTTCTCCTATTTACTTTTGTATTTTGTATCTTATTTTATCTTATAACTCAATAAAAATGTTAAACCAAGAAAGGAAGTAAACCTTTTTAGCCAATTATATATGGTGTGAAGACCATTTTTTCCTAAGAGTATTACTGTTTAAAGTAACTGGAAAGGTACATAGAAATTATTCAGGATTGTCAATAAATCTTTTGAAAAAGAACACAAGCATTTGGACATACTCATAGTACACTCATCTAAGGTAAGACTTCTTGCCATTTCCAAAAGAAGGCTGCATGTCATATTCTAGGTGCTTCTCCCATTAAGTGTGAATTTTCCCCACTTACAGTAAATAAAAGAACATCTTAAATGAGGTGAGTGGGAGGAGATTAGAAATACTCCTTTTCTTTTTGAGATTTCCAGTAATTTTTATTAGAATTTTTCTATCTTTATGCAAGAATGTGTGTTTGATGTACAAAAATCAAAAGTGGTAACCTGAAGCCCATTAGCAATGTCTCCACATTATTAATGAAAGAATGGAGGAGATAAATTATAAAAATGTACTAATATATGGAGAGATTATGGTATCACTTCAGGAACAGAAGTTGTAAAGATTCTGAAGATAGTTCCAAAAGCCATTCTGAATATGCAATTCACAGTAATTTTTTTTCCAACAAGATAAGTGGTAAGTGGATTTTCCTTCTATCTCCTACTACTGTATCTGCCTATTATGACCGCATCTGCCATTAGTAGATGATGTACTCATACAAACTGAAACAATAGATAACACACACAGATGTCTCTGCACACACATACACTTTCACTCTCTCAAAGTATTTAGAATCTAAAGGTTTGTGTCTGATACCATAGGAGCATATTCAGTTGCAGTTCTTAGGAGCATACTAAACTAGACTCTTTGAGAGGACAGGAAAAGTATAGGAATCACAGCATTCAGTCAAAAAGAACTCCCTCACTTCAAGTGTCACATTAATCAAGTTATAACACACTAAGACACTTCAAGAGAGACAGGTTGGGCAAGTATGCCACTTAATCTGACAATGACAAGCCTTCATTTAAAAAGAAATCTTACATTTTTGTTATTTACAATTTCATGGCTTGTTGGGCCACAATCCTGTAGGCTTCTTCAATTGTGTGGTTTGCTGCTCAGGGGAATGGAGTGGTGAAGATACACCCTTTAAGACAGGGGTGTCAAACTCGATTTCATTGAGGGCTGCATCAGGGTTGTGTTTGACCTCAGGGCGCCGGGATGGGTGTGGCCAGCTTGACATCATTCCTCTAGGGGGCGCTTGTGGTGGCCCGAGTGCTCTGCCAGCGAAAACAGGCTCCTGAGCTTCATTTTTGGCTGCCACAGCCTCCTGCAACCTTCTGCCAGTGAAAACGGAACTTGGGA